CTGGTTCGAGCCGATCACAGAGCCCCGGACTCACGACTGGCTCGGCAAGCACAGAGCCGGAGTCCCAGGTAGAAACCAGGGATTGGGGGGTTTAGGGTTTAGGGATTAGGGTTTAGGCATTTTAGGGTTTGGGGTTTAGGGATTAGGGCTTAGGGAGCGATTCGGGTTTAGGGTTTTCTAGAGTTTATGGATTCGGGCCACGCTCCAAAGTATACAACATTTCTAGACTTAGATCCCCAGACCTGAGTGATGAGCTTCAGGAACTCATGCAGAACTATGATGCCTTCCGCACTGCCTGGGAGGCGAGGTGAGTTTGTTTTGATGTGGGTGTGGTTTAGGGGTTAGGGTTTAGGGATTGGGGTTTAGGGTTTAGGACCTAGGGTTTAGGATTTAGGATTCAGGGTTTAGGGCTAGGGGTTTTCCTAGGAGTGTCTGGTGCTGAAGGGGACGTGGGTCAGTGCATATTGGTACTAGAACAAGGGCTTGTACAGGGTTGTTTCAGGAAAAACTTTGGAGAGCCACTCCGCTATTCTTCCTTGAGCGCCCGCAACTTATGCGCGGTTCCTCATAGATCATAGAGGCCACCATATATGTTGGGTAGTAGCTCCAAACTGACGGGGCCGTATGAGGACTTTCACTTTCAGACATACCTTGTGGTATCCCTCACGATCTCTTCAAGGTGGCATAATCTACGGACTACTCCTAGTCTTGCGGTGACGGGTCCTGAGATTATTCGTACTTCATCTTGGATGTTCCTCTGCTTTGTGGTCATGGCTTTGAGTCATGTCATCTGAGCAAAATGCATCTGAATCTTTGGGGAAGTAGGGCCTACCAATTAGGGCTCTGGTCTCCATGGGTCAAGACCCAGAGCTTGAAGGACGACCTTATGTATAAGGCCTTGATAGACGAGCATGGCACATGGTCACATAGTCACTGTCACATCGTGTCTGCATAATCCCGTCTAAGCCCCTAAAAACCTTGAATGCTAAATCCTAAACTACTTCCGGACACCTTTAACTTCAGACTACGGGCTCTGGTCCTTGGTGTCAACTCTTGCAACCCCTAGATCGTCCTTTTTCTTTCTATGTTGCCCCTACCCCTGCAAGTAGCCTTTAAAGACCCAAATAGACCTTATTGAAGGCTAGTTGCGGGGTCCGGGGACAAGCCTGAGCCCTAGACCTGCACAACTCCCCCAATGGTTGGTTTGGGGTTTAGGCTTTAGGGTTTGGGTGTAGGGTTAATCTCTACCCAAGCCCCAAAAGTATGTAAAATAATAGCCCTAAACCCAAAATCATAGCCACAAGGGCCATTATTTTACATACTTTTGGGGTCCAGGTAAAGCCTAAACTCTGGGGAGGGCTTGGGGCAGGAGCAGCGAGACTTCATCGGCCCCTCAGAAGAGCGCCGGGTGCTGCATCTCATGGCCCTGGGCCCCGAGGCGCCTCTGGAGGGCATGGGCATCAAGCAAGGATTAAATTGAGGCTATAGTCTAGACTCCTTAAAGGGGGTTATATAGGGGAGTAACATAGTCTTATCAAGTTTGGATGTTAGGAGTTTAGACTATGTATGGCTCAACTGAGCACTTCTCAAGATTTTTTTATGCATGCATGCTACCAACCCCCTAATAGTATTGGGGGCTAGTTGGAGAATGCATGAACGATACATAAGTCCTAGAGGTCCTGGGTTGTAGGTGAGTAAAATACCTACATAAGATCAGGACTAGCTGGCAGTTGCCAGCTACATATGTAGCTGGGCTTCTAGGGAGGCATCAACAATGAAATTGTAGGCGAACGTGTACAAAACGTGCCACGCATCAAGACAGACTTGCAGGTGCGGGTTGTGTGTATTGCTGGGGTTTTTAATAGTTGAAAATATAGTCTTAAATTCCTTGTATACTTATAGTGTATGCTACCTCAACCAGACCTCAAAACTGATATTGTTAGTTATTCAGTCAGGATGTTACACTACATGATCCGTTTAGCCCCCCCCCCCCCTTTATAAACCAGTGTCCATTACATTTGCCGTTTTCTTCTCCACTATCATCCCAAACTCTGGGCTGCTGTAGTACACCCAAGCTAAGCCAGGCCAGCAGCCTGAAAGCCAGGTCACAGCCCCCAAGCGGCTTCAGGTTGGGGGGGGGGGTCGTCAGGGCAAGAGCCTCCTCTAGACCTCCACAGCTTCAGATCTTGAGGTTCGTGCGTCAGAGACCCTTGAAACTTCAATGCTCCGAGGCTCCGACTCCAACGTGCTCCCTGCAACAGCCAGGTAAAACCCTACGTAAGTGCAATTATCGAGCACACACTAGTTCACAGTATGTTGAATAGATCTACCTAGCTCAGGAGCCCGCGCCAAAGGTGATGCAGGCCCTGCAGGACGCGCAGGGACTGTCACAGGTTCTGAAAAAAACCTTTTGTTTCCCGACATGGCATTTGATCCAAGATCTAGCGATTGTTCGTAGTATTCTTCTGAAAAGCTGCACCTGGTTTCCACGTGGCCATTCTTGGAAATCTTGTTTACTGCAACTGTCATTATACACTAAGTCCCAAGAACAAATAGGAAGTTGTAATGTCTACCAGCCTCCCAATAAGGAAGCCGTAGCACGAAAACCTTCTTTTTTCATGCAAGCTAAGACCAGGTAGGCACGTGCTCGCAGTAGATATGTTCTCTTCGGCACCCTCGGGGCGCATAGTCATTCTACAAGTAGGGCTCCTTAATTAATGGCGCAGTCGCGTTTATAAAGAGACCTTCTTCAAGTTTCGAAGGCCGTTTCAAGAGTTTCTTCGATTTTTTCAGCCTAGAGGTCTAACAGAACCCAGGCCATCCAGTTTAAATCCATCCCCCTAGCCCTCAGAACCGTGGGAGCCGTATTGAGGATGCCTGGTTTGAATTTTCCGGGGAACTAACTAATCATCCGCAAAAGGTTGGAGCCAAGAGATCTGAGAAACTTCCACATTGACGGTCGCAAAACAGAAGCGTCCTCGCTGGGAGAGATGCATTCAGTCTCCAAGTTGGGAGGTTCGAGCGAACCTTTAAGCCCGAAACATGCAGTCCAGATGTCCAGTTTCAGGGTCATTGCTTAGAGACTGCCACAAGTAAAGTATCATCTGACCTGGCATTGGACGAGTCAATCAAGTTGCTGCAATGCAAGGGTTTTAGCTGTTCTCCTGCGATACTGAAGCGTCCGAAAATTACTTAATAGAACCTTCTATATCGTTCCGGGACAAAATTCGTCGCTAACGCAGCGACCTGCCAAGTTCATGGGTTCATGCCTCAGCGTTTTGGCTTGGGTGCACTGCTGAGCTAAGAAAGCACAACAAGTGTTTGCATATGCAGCAAGAGAACCTTGGCAAGAATCCGCAAACTACAAGAGTGTAGTTCAGCACGGGCAAAGTGCAAGTGCGTGGTCTGATGGCCCTGAGAGACGCTGGTGCAGCAACAACCACCAAGATCCAGATCCGACATTCTGGCCGAAGCTGCTGTGGAAACCTGGTGCGCATTACTACCCCTAGGGCTCCCAGCTACCAAACTAATAGGCCATACTGGGCGATGTAATTAGAGGGTATATAGATCGAAGAACCCATTATTCCGGGCAAAATGGTATGTTTTGAAAGGAGTCCGTTGGCAGGCTTACCTTTGTTCCTTTCAACTGCAGGTGCTGCACCGTCAGCATCTCGTTCGCTCCAGCTCTTGCCCGGAAACAGGAAGCAAGAGCCATGCTACAGGTGTCTGGCAACTGCACTTTCCTGGACGGTGTCTTGCTTGGAGATTAGTTTCGAGAGCGCTTTGACTCGGGTAAAACTTAGGGTGGGAGCAGTCTGGGTCCGCCAGAGCAAAATGCTCCATGTAATCCCTCTGCAAGCTACACCTGACCTTCAGAAATTCCGAAAATGCAAGATCGTCTTTTTTCGCATGTCGACTGGGATCAGGGGCGAATTACTTGCATGGGGTCGTTAGGTGTTAGGGGGCGAGAACTATATCGGTGAGGGCACCATCCAGTTACATGGGGGTTCCAAAGCATTGCGGCTTTCTTTGTGAGAGTTCCAACAGAAACGATTCTAATATATTGGGTGCATATTGGGGTCGTTTATCCATGGAAACCCCCGCATGCAGGGAAGCTGCCAGCGACGTGTGCTGAATGAGTTTCTTTCACTTCAAAAAGATCCTCAACCCTAAACCGTCTAAAGCGGCCGGGAGACCTTTGAGACCTTTGGAAGCTGGGGGGAGGCCTGATGGAGGTGTTGGTGAGTCCTTACTGTGAAGCCCACTTATGTGGAGATCCCTTGAGTGAGGCTCTATACCCTAAACCCCTAGACCCTATAAACCTTAATTATTGTTCAAGGGCGAGGCGCTCACCGGCATGATCCTGGCAGGAGTAGAATTTACAACGGGGATGCTGCAGTCCCCGACAGAGCGTGAGCTTTTCTCAATTTATTGGATATACCTGGACCTGTAAGGTAGGTAAACGTATAGCCCAAAACCACCAAAAATAGTGCAAAAGGCAACGATTCTACGTACTTTTGGGGTTCAGGTAGTGCCTTTTAAAGAAGACCATAGTTTGGGGTTCAGGTAGTGCCGTTAAAGAAGACCATAATTGGTCTTATTCAAGTCAACCACAAGAATGCTGGTTACCTGGATTTGCTGTGTCATTTTCAGAGCGCCTGTACAACTGCCGAACAGCCACAGCATATACATGGGTTGCAAAGGCTTCATCATGTAGGCATTCAGCATTTGTCTTCTGAATTGCAGAAAAGCCGTCTCTCGGCCTAGCCCAAAACTGACCTCCACGTAACTCATAGTCTGATGGATGTGAGGTCATATTTGTTTTTGGGACTCTAGAGGTGGAACCTGAAACAAAAAGGTACCTTAATCCTAAACCCTATCCCTAAACCCAAGCCTTAGACCCTAAACTCTGATTCACCCCTGAAATCAGGCAGCATCCTTCCGAACTGGACGGGCAAGACGAAAGCAAAACAAAGTGACCACTTGCGCTGCAGCAGCAGATGTCGTGCTCTTGGTCGATGCCGATTCGCACAGCGTGGAAGAGATCAGGAAGGGGGTTGCAGTTCTGACCCAGAAGTATGGCGATGTCAAAACGTCCGTATTCGCTGCGCCCAGACGCCTCGAAAACAGTAAGTGGAAGCAGTTTTTGCAAGAGCCGGGAATGGAGTTCCGACCTGTGCCACGGCGGCACCTTGTTGGGGAAGCCAACGACCAAGAGATATTTGACGAGATGCAGTGCCTGGCCGAGTCGAATTCCACGAAATGCATAGCTCTGCTGGTGTCAGATAAGGATTTCTTCGATTGTTCGCAAGCACTGGCGTCACGAGGTCAGGAAGTTGTAGTGCTCGTACCTGCTGCAAATACAAATGTGTTGCGGAAGTATGAGGAGTTGGGCGTGCCCGTTTTGGAGCTGCCTCATGGGGGTGCAGCACCAAAGGTTCGAGTTCGAGCTGTTCTGGAGACCGATGGAGGAGGCAGCGTACAACTGGCAGATGCCTGGGTTTTCCGAGACAGCACAGAGGAGGTGAACGGATGGATTAATGGGAATTTCCCTAAATTGATTTTGTGCGGCTCCCAGTAGTGAGGTTCGAATTGCAAATTTCCCCTTTTGGGGGACAATGATGTATAAAATTGGGCCAAGTCGCAAATTGCTTCCAGGCAAGAGGAGCTGCCATTGATCAGCAAAGTCATATGTGGGTGTAGCCCCTTTTTCATCCTGGGTTTTCATAGAGGCTATTGTCCTGCTTGGGGGAACCCCTACTGCTGCCCTGGAGGTGATTCACATCACTAGCTTGCTGGAGGATTTGGGCTTCCTCGATGGCACTGGGTATCTTCTGCCGGCAATCGTGAAATTTTGGTTTACCAATGCCCTTGGGCCACTGACAGTGTACCCGAAGCAGTGTGCCACACTGGCGCTTCACGACCGTGTGACGAGTCCTGCCACCAAACGTTTGTGGCAGAGGCCCCAAGCGGATTTCTCGTTTTGCGTACCCATATCATCAACCAAGGGGAGGATCACAAGAAAACAGAAAGAGCGGTACGGCAGTGCAAAGGCACGTCAGGTCTTTCTCGGAGGAGGGCCTTTCATGCTACAGGATTCAGAGTCTCTGGTTGCTCAATCGTTAGAACGTCTCGGCTATTTGGATGCGGACCTGAACAATGATTTCTCCGAGGCGGTGACAGTGTTCCTGAACGCCACTCACAACAAGTGCCCTGTCTGCCACGAGCTAATGAAGCGCCCGAATCATCGTGATGACATCTACCTGAAACCTACAAGTATGTGAATTGATTGCCTTTTGGGCTGTTTTAGGGGTTTAGGGCTATTTGTTTACATAATTTTGGGGTTTGGGTACTCTCAAGGATAAGCAAGACAACACACAAGCCCTGAGAGCACAACACGCTTCCACCAGAGGATATAAATTCAATGGTAGTAGGATCTTCAATTTGATTCCAGAAATGTTTTCTACATTCCTTAATTACGGGATGCTCGGCACCGTGGGGAGCAGATAGGAGTCTTGCAATTTCTTGTGATGCTTAGGAAGACTCTGCGCAAGATGGGTGAACTGCCAGCTCCAAACGACACCTTCGTGGAGGCTGCAGCAAGCTTGAGGAAAGCTTTCTTGTCGCGGAAAACTGCCGGTATGTGGCAGATTGCGCCGCGCAGCCGAACAATCCGAATATTATTGTGCAAACTAGGCCTCCTTCGCGATGTTGCAAGTCCAGACCGTACAGTGTTCAAGGCGATGAGAAAGTACATGCGAAATGAGCGCTTGCCGATTATGAAAACCTTCAACGGCTGCTGTCTGCGAATCTTGCAACACTATGAGCAGCGTAAGGACCCCAGCCACACAGGATTTTTTGATTTCAACGCTTGAGGCGCAACTGAAGTGCCAGTTTTTCAACAAATCTTTGCAAGCTTTGCCCGGATAACAGCCAGAAGAGATGTAGGGAGATGAGGTATCCCAGAGCTCAAAGTACAACAGGGGGTCCAGAAAGGGGGGCACAGTATGCGAAGACTTTCAATGGCTGCTCTTTTCTCGTGCTTTGATATGCTGAAGAGGTGCGCATGCCAGGGGCTTGTTGGTGCACGGGACTCAGCAGAGTGCTCTCAGCACCCTGACGTCCACTGTGCCTGGCTGCTGACCTGGCTTGTGCTAACCCAGCAGATCGAAGGGCAAGATGGGTTGCATCAGCTCTATGAAGCAGTGCATGGAAATAGCATGGAAAATATGTATCTGGACCCCAAAAGTAGGTAAAACAATAGCCCCAATTCCTTTAACAATGCACGAAAAGCCACTATTTCACAATATTTTACATACTTTGGGGTTCAGGTATTGCCTAAACTGGCATAAATGACAAAATAGCTGCATAGCCTCGCAGGAAGCCTGTTCTGCCTTCTTCTCGCCCCTGCGGGTCCGGACCTCACTTCCCATCACAGGGTTTAGTGTTAAGGGGGTGAGGGCTTAGGGTTTTAGAGGTTCAGGGTTTCAGGATTTAGGGTTTTAGGGGTTTAGGGGTTTAGATGTGGGGTTTAGGGTTTACGGTTTGGGGGTTTAGGGTTTAGATTTAGTCTAGCATATGTACTGTTGTAATGCCCGCTAGCGATATACCGACCGAGGTTTTGGTGGTCATAGGGTCTGTGGATAAGGAGTACTTACTCCCTGACAAATATCTACATGTACAGTTATATATAATGTACGGTGTACTGTAGTATACTCCCAGAGCCCCTTTCTAGTTACTGCGAAATTCAGGCTTCTACATTATGGTCTGTGTCTTAAGCGTACGGTCGAAGGCTCCAAGTGTAGGGTATGGGTGTTGCTTAGAGCCTGCGAAGTAGTTGCTGCAAATGGCATTACTGTATTGTTCAGCCTCTCTATCAAGAAATTTGGGTACCTCGGGAAAAAAGGTATTATTGCAGTGTAAGGTTTAGGTGGGGTTGGGTTTTACATGCATGCATTTTTATACCTCTACATAATCTTTCTACATAATTTGCAATATATCCTCCAACGCCTCCAGCCAGGGCTTTAGAGTTGAAAGTCTGAGGTCCAAGATTTGCAGCCCGGGAAGAAAGGGCTTACTGGGTTGCTGCTAAGGAGCTCCAAATTAAGTTACCATAATAAGGAAACCCGACTATTTGCTGGATACCCATATGTTATGGTAACTTAAGTTCCTCAACAACAACCCAGTTTAGGGTTAGAAGTGTGGGGTTTGCTTACTGCGGTGGTAGTTGGGTATAAGGGAAGATCTCATATAGGCATTTTATTCCTGTATTCGTTACTAAGCACCAGGAAGTTTACAAAAAACCGAGGTCTGTTGCCTTGATTCTTGGGAGTTCTGCTTCACAGCTGACTTCTGACTTCAGATTCATGAAGAGGTCGGCCGTTGAGTCTTCAACCCTGTAACAGTTAAACCGATTAAGCCCCTAAACCCTAAACCCCAAACCATGTGAGCTATAGTCTAAACTCCTAGTATCCCCCTTAATAAGCCCTATGATGCTCCCCTTATATGGCCCTTTAAGGAGTTTAGATCATAGCTCATGGTTCAGCCTGGGATCTGTTGAGTTTCGCACAGGTCCCCCCTCCAGCATCCTTGGCACGCTCCCCTTCCCCCTGGTGGTGAGCCGCCCCACCCACCCTAATCAAACAGATCCCCCCCCAAATGATGGATTCTTGTTGAACAACATTTTACATCTTTATGTAAACCCGGGCCCAAAATATATTCAAAAATGAATTGTTTTTCAGAGCATTTCAACAAGAACCCAGAATATACAGCGGCAGTATGTTGGGGCATTCTTGGGGATCATAGTCATGAAGCACCCTAAACCCTAAACCCTAAACCCTAAACCCTATGGCATTTTTGAGATACTCCTCGGATTCTTCCCTCATGCAGCAGAAGCATCCCCCAGTTCAGCAGGTTGCCGTGATACGCAGCCATCGCCCAGACTTGAAGGCTCCTTTTTAGGGGGTCCAAGGACTCCCAAAAATTGGGGGTTTTAGGGTTTAGGGGTTTAGGGGTTAAGGGTTTAGGGTCATGTAAGGGTCCAAGGACCCAAATAACAGGGTTTTAGGGCCAAACTACCATTCATATTGTAGTATTTGGGCCCTGAAATCCCATTCTTTGGGTCTTTGCACCCTTAGGCTTCTGCATGCCCACAGTTTGAGAGTTATAGTCTCCCTTAAGTAGATAGAATACGGGGTATAGGGGGGTCTTCTCATCATGTACACGAAGCCATATTCTATCTGCTTAGTAGGGGGACTATACAGCTGATTGAGGGCTTAAGGTTTACGCTTCAGGGTTTAGGGGGGTTTGGGGGGTTTTAGGGTTTAGGGTTTGCTTCATGTATCCCGAGCTTAGGAGTTTTTTTGAAACTGGAGTCCCGAACCTGGTATGATATACCAGTCTTATGCAAGTATCTAACCTGTAGGGTTCCTTGGGGATGGATTCTAAACCCAAAATCCTAAGCTCTAAACCCTAAATCCTAAACCCTAAACGCTAAGGTCTGGGTATGGGTAGGCTACATTCGTGCCCACTTTTGCTTTAAAAGGACTTCGGTGACATGTTCCTGTTAATGAAGGATATTTAATTAGTGAGCCCACTCCTCCTAAACCCAGTCTTGGAGGTATCGGACCTTCACGGCATTGTAGAATTCCGGGATCAGAGGATTTTCGGGTTTGGCGTTGTCAGGATCCGGGCGCGTATGAAGGTTTAGGGTTTAGGGACTCAGTGTCTTACACTGCCCTTCTAACTCCCTTTATACCCCAAGAAATGCCCAAATCTTCACGTTTAGGGATTCGCGAACGAGGATAAGGTGGAGTTCCAGCAACGCAAAGAGGTTCTATGTTTCCTTCACGTGGAGTTCTTAGGGCCTGAGTATACCTATAACAGTCCCTTGTGTTACCCATTACTTGGCGGGGGATTGTCCCAAGTTCCATGATCAGATATGTACCGATTCTGGTGTTTGGAAGTTTACGTTTTGCCTTTCCCCAAATCCCCACATATCCTTCTGCATCCCTACAAGTCTCTAGATTTGGTATCAAAGAGGTTCCAAGTTATAATTGTGCTTGGGACTAGGGCTTGTTTTAGGAACGTGGGTCGTCTTCAAAGCGCGGCTTAGTGGGCTTGAAGCGGAGGGGATTCAGAACACTAAAAGACTCTCCGATAATTCGCCTCATAAGCGCAATCTCCCAGCACGCGGAGCTTCAAAAGGGCCCGGGAACCTCGAGAAAGCTTACCTCTAGGATAATATGGAAATCAGGAGGTGCCCTACATACCCCCAGATGTTCTTCATCTACTATTACTGCAAACCCGAGTCGAAACATAGGTGTGAGAGACCAAGCTAGCTCCATAAACCCTTCAGGAACCCCTAAGAGTCCACGTGGCCAAAAAAAGGATGTGTTTGAATCGTCCCGGCCAAGAGACGCGACGTGGTGAGAGAGCTGGCATGCAAGTTCCACAAGCTCTTCGATCGATCGCTTGCCTTTCACTGGTCGCCTGAGGAGAGAGCATCTCATTGTTTGCTTTGCCAACGGCAGCGACCCTGAAGTGGGCCTACCTGATAAGTGGGCTGTCGTGCGTCAACTTCTGAAGAAGCGCAAGCACGTCGAGCAGGCTAGTGAGCTGGCCAACCGGAAGTTGCACCGACAAAGCCTCCAGGCCAAGCTGTAAGTACTTGGACCTGCATGCTGCACTGAGCTTTGAACGAAGGCACCTTCAGGGCTTAGGGTTGACCATCTTAAGTGAACTCCAATTCCACATTGGCCAAATGGATACACTGTTTCAAAACCCAACGCCCAACATAAAAGGTTTTTATAAGGTCTGGCTTTGTAATTCTATCTACTGGGCCCCTCAAAGTACTACCTGCGCCTTAAAATCAGGAAGAAGTAATTTTCAAAACTAGGAAACATTAATGGCCCAAAATCCTTGAAAACAGTCACCCAAAACCTTTAACTTTATAAAAAAGGCCATGATCTTATAGATTGGATCCAGGTATACTATAGCCCCTTACAACCCTTTAAGGGAGTGTGGGGAGGCCCGGGGGCGCGGTCAGCCCCTCCCTGAGCTTCGCTTCGCCAGCGCGACGTTAGGGGCCCAGAAGGGAGGAGTCCCAGGCTCTTTATAACTGCTTTAGGATTTAGGGTTTAGGG